AATTAACTACACACACACACACACACACACACACACACACACACACACACACACACATTCTTTCACATATTTTTTAACAAAAAAATTTTGCTCAAAATATATAGATAACTGAATTACTAATGTAATTGAGAAGAAAAACTTTTTAAAATTAATTAATTATTTAATTAAGATTGAGACAAATATAATAAATTTGTAAAATTATAAATCTGCGAAATTTTCTTAAATTTGTTAGATAAATTTCTATTTTTTCATGTAATTTTTTGCTCATTAGTCTCTAAAGATATAGTATTAATCTCTAGACATTTTATTCAATGATATACCTGTGGTTCGTGGTTACTATATCGCGTTCTCCAGGATACGCTAGCGAGAATAAGAATGAGGCACATGAAGAAGAAGATAAGCAAGGTGGCGAGGCAACTCTTGTATGACTGATCCCGTTGAACAATCTTGCCTTGCTCCCGATTGTTAACATGATATGTTTTGCGAAACGGCATGATCTCTTTAAGTCGGTTAACTAATAACTGCGCACGTTGAAGTAGTTGAGGAAGTCTCGATTTTGCAACGTATACGACTCTTATTCCTATCTTCCAAACATTGATTGTGGTTTCGTTAACCACTTCCTTCCGAACATTATCTTAAGATAATAGCTTACACACTATAAATGCTTGAATTAATACTGCATTAGAAAATGTAATCTCCCTTTTTCACGCAACGTAAAACACTGTGTTTAGATTTTAAATTTTCTACATAAACATTAAAAAGTTAAATAAACTAATTTAAATTTAATAAATTAACTGGTTTGTTTTTAAAGAAGCATTGTTTAATTGGGATTCAAGTCTAAAGGAAGGAATCTTTAGGAACAGCTAATAATATATATAATACAAACTTTGGCTATTTCATAAAATTGATATTCTTTCTTAAAAGTTATTTTACACATTTCGCACTTGTGACTTCTGGTCTAGATTTATTATTTTATAACAAATAAATTAAAAAGAAATTGTCGCGCTGTCAAGTATTTTTCGTTATAGTTCTGATATCGCGCGTACGCCTTGTGATCGTTAAAAAAAATTTAACGAACGTTAAGCGTTCGACAGGGTACTCGAAGTATCAGTTAAAACTACAGCTGCGGCTATACGACAAGTTTTCTCATAGAAGAATCGAAATTGGCAACACCGAATACCTTCGATGTTCGCGCAAATGTATATATATATATGTATAAGTTACTTATATCAATAGAGCATTTATAATACAGTTATCACAGATATGTAAACTACAAAATATCGTACGCGAATATAAAATGCAACTTGCGATTTCGGTGATCCCATTGCACGTGCTACGACGAGGTTGTCTACGTCCTAATTAATGTACAATTTAAATACGAATAAAAAAATATATATATATATATACGTATATGTATATATATATGTATATATATTGCAAAACTCTACTCGTTTGCATGGGGCGAGTAGTACTCCATGTTGCGTTTAAAATCGTCTTCGAAATCCATAACTGGCGAATCGGATCGCTCGTTTAATTCACCGCCGGACGATTCAACGACTGTTTTTGAGACGACAGAAATGTTCCCGGTTTTTTTACTGAATTCCTCGAAATCGCCAGATCTGAATGTTTCGGAGACGGTCTGCAATGAAAATAAAGACTAATTAAAAAATAAGGAGAAAAAATATTCTATTAAATTAAAAGAACCGTAAGATAAAAATTACAGGCGAAATAATTAATATTTTATAAAAAATATTTTGTAAAAAAGAATAGAAGATCGATAAATACGATCAGAAAGTGGAAAAGAAAGTTTTACAGTACACAAGAAAATATGAAGAACGATCTAAATATAAATTACTTTTCTTTCTATCTCGTCAGCTTTGAGTTTTTCTAATTTCTCTTTGTCGGCAAGCGGAATTGCAGTCTTTGATAATGTTTGTCTCTTTGGGGTGGGTTTCCTCGGCTTAAATGATCCGGATGCTTTTTTCGGTAATTGCGAGCTCGTGTGCTTCTTGGTCTCGTTCGATTGCTCGCAATTGTGAGTAACCAGTTGTTCTTTAGTCTTAAAGGCCTGCATAATGACAAATAATTAATTATCAAATTATTCAATTAATGTTTTTAAAGTAGACTAAAGATGGATACTCACATGAGAGCAGATATCACACTTGAGACTGTGCTTGTTCATCTCGTGATGCTTAAGAGCTTGTGCGCGATGGAAATTGCGATTGCAATGGCTGCAACTGAACCGCTTGACGTTACTGTGTGTCAGCAAATGCCGTTTAAGCTTGTCGGGCCGCGAAAACTCACTCATGCAGCCCAGGTAGTTGCGAAATGGACATTTGAGTCTCTTTGTCAGATCGTGGATCAGCATGTGTCGACCCAGCCGATCTTTTCGCTTGAATCTAGCCGGACAATGCTGCAAATTCAAATATAAAATGCAAATATCAATACGTAATTAATCAATATACAGCTACAGCAAATTATTTTAATGTTATTAAAAAAAATAATCATATTTATAGATTATATATTTATTATATTTATAGATATAGCAATCAATAATATTGATTTTCCTCGGTCACTCTCTCCCTCGATAAAATCCCGATTTTATATCTATTTATTATTGCAATTATTTTTACTGGACATGTGAAAGGCGTCTCCTCGCTGTGTATCAGCTTATGATTGGCCAGATACTGCTCGGTTTTGAAGGCCTTGCCGCAATCCTCACAAGCGAATCTCGCCGATGCTGAATGGGTCTTGAGATGACGACGTAAGAACCTCTCGATGAGGAAACTCTTGCCACAATGCAGACAGACATAATTGTGCGTAGTGGTCTCTTTATGATGTTGCAATGCTTCCAGATTTGAGAATGACGATTTGCAAGTCGAGCAGCAGTAGTACTTCTCCGTGGTCTTCTGCTTCTGGACGGAGTGAACGTACTGATGGCGACCGAGATCCGACAGAGTGCTGAACACCTCGCCGCACACGTGGCATCGATACTCCGAGCACTTATGGCTGCGCGTGTGCTCCAGAAACTCCTCCAAGTCCGAGAACATCATGCTGCAGCTGCTTTGCACGCATTTGTACACCTTCAACGCCATATGCGAGACGATTAAATGGCCCTTCAGAGCTTTGTATGAGTCAAACGTTTCCTTGCAGAACTGACAATGGTACGTGCGATCTATACTTCCGTCCGGAGGCGCCTTTAAGAAAAATAAAAAAAAAAAAAAATAGAGTAAAATGATAAAGTTAAAATTAAAAATAAAAGAATGAATGAATGAGAGATATAAAATAAAACTTAAATTGTGCTTAATTTTTCTTCCGTTTGTAAAATATAATACAGAATATTTCAAACAATTAATTATAGTATGCGAGCATAAAATACGAGACTTCGCTGAAAAGTTTGTACACATACTTATTTTTGCAAAAATTAACACTTTTACATAAAATACGGTTTGAAATCTATTTTACATAGTTTAATTAAAAATTCCTTACTTCCGGCGGTAAAGAGTGAATGGCGGTACCGGGCCATACTTTGTGCGAGGACATATGTTTCTTCACATTTGACTTTTGTGCAAACGCACGTCCACATACCACACACTGATAAGGCTTTTCTCCAGTATGAGAACGTTCATGCTGTTGCCAGTAGAATTTCTTCGCGAACTGCTTGTTGCAGTAACCACACTTATACTGTAACATTGTAATCAAATTTATGTACTTTAGCATTAAAAACATTTACTCATTCTAATATGATTTAGTAGTATTTAAGAAAAATAATGTGAAAGCATTTAAATTACGTTTTTAAATTTACATAATAAAAATTTCTCAATTAAACTTCTTAAAGTAATCAAGTCAACTAAGTTAAAAACATGCATTGTAATCTAATTTAATATTGTAATCAAGTTTTTTTGTATTCTTTGTTTTAATCGAAAGCAGAAGATCACCAATCACACACCCTTAAATTTTGCGTTTGATTAATGCCGTTTTCCGATTCACCGAGTGAATTGTCCTGGAAGGATGTCTCGTTGTTCTCGAGAGAGGATTCGTTGTCCTCCAAAGGTGGCTCGTTGTCTGCCAGGGAGGGCTCATTGTCCGTTAAAGAGATGCTAGGATGTTCAGACTGACTCGAAGCGTCCTCCTGCGAACTGATATCGTTTTGTAGATGTATTGTCGGCATCTCACTCGAGTCTTCCCTTGTCGCCTCGATTGCAGCGTTACCAAAAGTATCCAGATTCTCTGTACTTAAGATGATCGGTACACCAAATGTGGAATCCGTCATGAAATAATTAGCAGCCTCCTGGTCCACACTGTAACAAATGACTCAGATCCAAATACATGCCAGAAAAAGATTTAAAAAAAGTAACGAATAATCTAAGTATTAAAATATTTAGTTTAAATTTACACACTGCATAAAACTTTCATTCTCGCAAACTTTAAACATAGATTTATTTCAAAAACAAATGTACAATAGTTCAGTTACAGAGAATATTCAATTATTAATAGTAGTAACGTACCTAAACAACATGTCTGCTTCTTCGAGAATAATAGGTTCTCCAAGTTGAAGAGTTTCCTGGGAATTGTATTGTGACTCATCCTGAACAGCATCTTCCACATGCATTACTTGACTCTCATCATTTGTTAAGAACTGAGTCAGGTCCACAGTTTGTTGTGTTTTCTGGTGCGTTCTCTTGTGCAGAACAAACATTTGAAGTGATGTAAACTGGCTTTTACACTTGCCGCACTGGAATATGTCCTCTTCATCCTGATCGATTGCTATTGAAAAAAATATTGAAATCATATAATAAACATAGTTGTGATTTATATATATATATATATATATATATATATATAAT